GAGGAGTGGTATGAGGGGCTAGAAACAAGGAAGGTACAAGTGCACCTCTGAGGGTGAAGGATATGTTCATTCTCCTATGATTCCAGTTTCACAAACATACACATATATCAAAGCCTATCAGATTGTATATTCTGTCTGTTTAAATTAGAGTAATTGGCAGTTGCTGTTATTTCTCATATTGCCAATTTGGCTCTATATAAAAATTCACATACTCGCTAATACAGAAATTCTATTTCTATAAATTGCCCTGTCAATAAGCCCATACAACTGTGAAACCTTCCTAATGGCAAAAATAACGATGCAACTTACATGTTTCATGTAGACAAGTAAAATAATATGTGTGGGTAATAAATCCACGTGTTCGGGCTGGGAAGGTGGCTCAGTGGTAGAGCGCTTGCCTTGCATGCATGAGGCCCTGGGTTCGATTCCTCAGCACCACATAAGCAAAAAAGAAAAAAGCCGGAAGTGGCGCTGTGGCTCAAGTGGTAGAGAGCTAGCCTTAAGCTGAAGAGCTGAGGGACAGCGCCCAGGCCCAGAGTTCAGGCCCCATGACTGGACCCAAAAAATAAAAAATAAAAATAAATCCACGTGTTCAAGTAGTACTTCCTCAAGCTGAATCTTAAGATTTAAATGTTAACTTATAAAAAAAGAAGTGTATACATGACATAAATATATTTCTATACAATGCTCAGAAAATGACAAGTTGTACCTCACATAGATAAACAGCAAGCACATTTACAAGGTACGTATATGGAAACCTGTATGGTGGTGGATTTATTTCTATGTTCTCACAAAAGGGAAAACAAAAATACATGTAGAGGAGTGCAGGTATGTAATTCCAAGCAGTCCCTCAAAGCATCTTTTTTCTAATTAATTGATAGCAAAATTGACTTAAACTGCCCTGAGGTTCTTTATGATCTTTATCCTGGTTAATGGTAAATATTCATAGTATTGTTTCACTGCAGGTAATTTAATGTGTGTTGTCAAGCTTTATTATATGAAGCTTAAAATAATAATTAACCATACCTAACAAGGGTGAACGTTTTATGGCTAAACAGAGTTGGTAAATCTAACTAGAATAGTTGCTAATGAAAGAGAATAATAGATGATATCTAAATGTTTCCACATTCAGTTGGTCTCTAGAATATTATTTGTAGATGATATGAACAGATTCTATAAAGATCATAAATTAGTAAAGCTGACAAAAGAAGAAAAAGTTACCCCCGTGTCTTCAAGAGAGGTTAAATCAGTGACAAGATTTCCCCACAAACTGGACACCTGTGCCACTTGTCTGTGATCCTAGCTATTTGAAAGACAGATCTGAGAATTGCAGTTTTGTCAGCCCATCCAGACAAATCCATTAGATTCTGATCTCCAGTTAAGCAGCAAAAAGCTGTAACTGGAGTTGTGGCTCAATTGTTAGAATGCCAGGCATGAACAAAAAAGTAGAGCAATAATATGAGGCCCTGAGGGGGCTGGCAAGGTGGCTCAGTGGTAGAGCGCTAGCCTTGAGCTGAAGAGCTGAGGGACAGCACCCAGGCCCAGAGTTCAGGCCCCATAACCAGACCCCCCTCCCCCCCCAAAAAAATGAGGCCCTGAGTTCAAGCCTTAGTGTCCGTAGAGGAAGATTTTATTGGGGGCGTGGCTTCAAAAGGGATGGTAGGAGTCTGATCTTTATCTGTGAGTTGTGTCCATGAAGTGAATGACTTTGCCCTGCCACAGTATCTTTCCATGAAGCGTCATTAGAGGCTGACAGTAGCCATGTAAAAACCTCCAAAAAAAATGTGAGCCAAAACTTTGTGAGTTGATTGTCTCAGGTATTTGGTACAGTAACAAAAAGCTTTATATATAGATAGCTTTATATATAGATAGGGTTAAATATGTTTTATATAAAGAGAGGCTGTTATGGTACTTTGAACAAGATAATAATCATGGCTAAAACTCATATGATGATGGAGAGAAATGGATTAATATTCCAGAAATACTTCAGAGGTGGAATCTTCTGTTTCCTTATGCTCCAGTTCCTACTCCTGCCACTTTCCAGCTGCAAAGTATATTTTTGTTTAATGCTTTCATTCTACTTTTTTCCTCATGTTCTTATACATAATCAAAACTCTCAATATAATGAATGAGACTTTCTAAGAAGGTATTTAGATTAAAAGGCAGTTTAAAAAGTGATTCTCTTATTGGACACTCTTGTCTGCTCCTTGACTTCCTGACACTTCTCTGCCTCTGTGAAGTGGGATGCTTTCTCTAGACTGGATAAAATGACTTTTCTTTCCTTCTGTTATTACTAAGGTCAAAATTTCCATCAGAATTACTTGAATTTTTGTTGTTGTTGTTGTTGTTGTTGTTTTAATTTTAAAACTTGAATTATTTCTTTCTCAGTTTTAGTAGCGTTTATTCTTAAATCAGTCCAGACCTCATGCCTTTTTTTAAAAGGTGGCTTTTTGAAAACCCTTCAGTTTCTTTTATTATAGTATGTTGCCATTTTCTACCTTTTTCCTAAGATCTGGTCCTTGGCAATTTCCTAGGAAGCATCTGCTTAACTAGATTTTCAAATAAAATTGTTCCTTTTATTTTCCTTTGAAGCTTCTCTACTACAGTGGATCTCCTGTCCCATTCTTGTTATTTGTATCTTGTCAGACTAGCCAAGTTTCTTCTGTTTCTTCTGATTTTTTTGAAATAGCCAGCTATTTCTTGGCTTATTGATTCAATGTCACTTACTTGTATTTTGATTGATTTTTTTTTTTTCATTTTATTCCTTTGTATTTCCATTTTTACCTTTTGCATCTTGGTCTTTCCTGATACATAGTTATTTTCTCCATCCTTCTGCTTGTTCTTTTTCTAAAATTTAATTAGTTTATTTTATGCAGTGCTGGGGATTGAAGCCAGGGCTTAGATATGCTAGGGAAGTGTTCTACCCGTGAGCTACATCCCCAGCCTCTGTGCCTTAAAAAAAAAAAAAAAAAAAATCTTTTTTGCTTTGTTTTTATTTCTTGAAGCAGGAAGTAAGTACTTGAGGTATATCCCAGGTTTTCTTCACATAGTCCTCCTACCTCAGCTTCCTAAGTGCTAAGACGATAGGAGTGTGCCTCACTGCCTGTTTTTAAGACAGGGTTCTCCAACTTTTCCAATTTTTAATTTAGTCCTAGTCTTTCTTTCTCTCTTTTTTCTTTTAGTTCTGATTTTTGGAGGAAAGTACTTATGCTTGTTGACTTTTGTCATTCATGGTGCTAGTTTTCATAGGTGTTTGGAGATTCTTCTTCGTTTGTTCATATTTGTAGTTGAAGATTCTAGATTAAATATGTTTTCTCTCATGCAAATAATAACTGATTTGTGTTATCAAATCAAGCTGAGTCTATCCTGTAGTATTCATGGAGGAGGAGAATAACTTGCAAATCAAAATCTAGTTTTGAGGCTTTCTCTTTTTCCTGAATCTCTGAGTAAATTGAGGACACTTCTTACCACTTGGACCTGTCCTAACTTTACAAGTCTCTCACTGCAGAGCTGCTTTCTTTTGTTTTCTTCTTCTGTGTTTGTGTGTGTGTGTTGTGTGTTGTGTGTGTGTGTGTGTGCCTGCACACACTTGTGTGTGTATGTTGTGTGTGTGTGTCTGCGCAAATTTTTCTGAGCCTTGAACTCAGGGCCGGGGTGCTGTCCCTGAGCATTTTTGCTCAAGGCAAATACTCTATTGCTTGAGCCACAGCTCCACTTCCAGCTTGTTAATGGTTCATTGGAAATGAGTCTCCTGGGCTTTCCTGTTCAGGCTAGCTTTCAAAGGGGATCCTCAGATCTCAGCCTCTTGAGCAAATAGGATTATAGGCCTGAGCCTCTGCTGCCTGACAAGAGCTGCTTATTTATATACAACACTTTTATAAACACTGGAGTTGCCCTATGGTTATCTATGTCTGAGTCATTATTATGCATTTATTCCATGTTTTAATGCTCTGTGGTTTTAATTCTCATTAATGTCTTCTTTGTCTTATTTTTTCAAAACCATGAAGGTACTTTGTTGGAAATGTGAGGAACAAAAAATACACGTATTTCCATTTTAGCTGAAGGATCAGCAGCAGGAAAGGTTTCCCAGTAATAGCTCAGACTTTGTTGCCTTAATATTGGTAAAGAACTCTGTTGAACTTCACTTTTTTAAGTTGGAAGTAGGCCTGTCATATACTTCATGAAAAGTTTCTCATACATACACATGTAAATGTATGTATGTACATATATGTGTGTGCATATATAATACATGATATATGGTAAATACATATGTATTTGTCATTTCATATATATTCATAAAGGATATATAATCATAAAGGATATATGATATGTAATATCTGATGTATAGTATATATTATATAATGTACATCATATATTTGTCATATATGCTATAATTTATGTATTCATAAATCATATGTATAATAAATTAGGATGTTGCCTATATATATTCATATGTATACAGGATATTGCTGTACATTTTTGTGAATTTTCTGGATTTAGTGTCAAGGTAGATGTTTTCACAGAATGAGTTGGGAAGTATTAACTATTATCGTATTTTTTGTGATAGTTTGTTAATTATTAGTTTTAATACCGTTTTAAATTATGGAATTTACCAGTAAAGATTGATTCTGAAATTGTGGGACCTTTTAATTGTTGATTCAATGTATTTATCTTTTGTTAAATCTATTCCAATTTGTATTTCCTGTTGAGTAATGTTTTCAGATTTGAAAAATATAAAGCCATTGCAAGTTGTTGTCTGATAAACCCAAATTGCATATGTAAAAATCTAATAGAAATATTAGAATAGAAATATTCTAATTTCTAACATATTCTCATTTCTAAATAGAAATAGTCTAATTCATGAGAAGTTAATTTGAAACTCATATAGTTTAATAGTTCAGTTTTTTTAATGAACAATACTTTCAAAAGTGTTATTAATGTCTTACTCTATAGTGGCTTAGATGACTTTCTTTTTTCTTACTGTGGCTTTTATCTCAACAGCAATGCAGCAAGTCTTGGAAAATCTTACAGAGCTGCCCTCATCTACAGGAGCAGAAGAAATAGACCTAATTTTCCTCAAGGGGATTATGGAGAATCCTATTGTAAAATCACTTGCTAAGGTATGTCAGCTTATTTAGAGTTTTACTGGATTGCTTTGAAAATTGTGTCTACAAGTCATTTCAATATTACTTAGAACTTGGTTAATATACCTTAAGCATAGTTAGCAAATACTAACAACACATAATTTATTTAGTTTTTTGGTCATGGGGCTTGAACTCAGGGCTTGGGCTCTGTCCTGAGCTTTTGTGCTAAAGACTAGTGCTTTATCATTTTGAGCCACAGTGCCACTTCTAGTTTTCTGGTGGTTAATTGGAGGTAAGTCCATAAGACTTCTCTCCAAAGCTTAGCTTTGAACTGTAATGCTCAGATCTTAGCCCCCTGAGTAGCTAGAATTATAGGCATGAGCCACCAGTGCCCAGCTTATTCTGTCTTTAAATACAGAATTAAATGACCCTTTTACCTAACATTTTAGAGAAATCATAATAAACACATTCATGTTACCTACCTCCATTTCCCACAGTAACAAGGTACTGATTTTTTTTTTTAATGACATCTGCCTGTTTTCATACAAGTTCCTGAGTATCTGGGATTATAGTGTGAGCCCCTAGCACCAGCCACTATTCTTCTTGTTCTCCACCCCTAGAAGGTTATTTTCACCCTCTCCTGTAATCTCTCTGAATCTATTTTTGTCTAAACATTCTGGAAAATCATGCATTTTACGAAGTTTTCTATTATTGAGTGAGTTAATGATGCATAATCTTCATTTTATTCATACAATTACTTATATTAACATGTGATACAAAGGATCATAGGTACAAAGGAATCCTCTTTCTGCTCACCCAACTGGGTTTTTTATTTTAGCCATTTTTATTACAGGCTTCTCATTTATTATACACTTATATTTCAAAGATAATATATAGTATATCATTGGCTTTCTGTGTGGAGATAAGTGATAGCTTCAGAACCTGTAGAAATTAGTAGGCGCTCTTTAAGCCTGTATTAGATGGCTTATCCTAGGTTCTCATTGGTACTTGTAAAATATTTTCCACTCCTCCTTTGGCGTCATACTAGTTAGGTTTTGTTTTCCATGAATCAGTTTCATTCTGGTTCCCATGTTTACAACCTATTTACAACTTACAAAGTTCTTTTTAAACACATATTTTACATTTTAAAATGCCTCAGAACTAAAAGCCATACTCTTAATCTTTGTAATAACTTGTTTTCTTTTGCTCGTTTATTTTTGGCAGTAATGGGATTTGAACTCGGGGCTAGTGTGCTCTACCACTTGAGTCACACTCCTAGCCCTGCAATAGATTTATGAAAAGAAAACTATGAGTTAAAATAATTTATACATTTTTCTAATTTGGGGAGGGAAAGGGAATAACAAAATGCTAAAATAAGGATACAGGTTGACCCATTATAACAATGAGATGTACAAGACCCTATGTTGAAAATGAACTTTACAACTCTGGGGGTGGGGAGGGAGGAATTGGGGAGGTGAGGAAGGAAGGGATGGTAGGGGAAAATCAAAGGAGGAGGTAACAATGCTCTATAGAAAATGTACTCATTATCTTACTCATGTAACTGTAACCCCTGTGTACAGTATTTTTACAATGAACACACACACACACACACACATATATGAGTTAAAATAGTTTATACCTAAGGTCACTTTGTCAGTAATTGACAGATAAGATTTAGGATAGGTTTCCTACTCTCAAGTCAGGAGTGTGCTCTTTCTGTGGTAACAGTGTTGGTATATATGTATATTCATAACAACTGTGAGTAAAAGTTTACTGAATCTGTGATAGTGGTGATGGCCTTTCAGAGAATCACTAATTTAAATGGTTTAAATGGTTCTAAAGTTTAATGGTGTAATCACTTTTGAGCAGGTAAGGTGCAACTATACTTTTCTGTTGATTACAATTAAATGAAGAGTAAGGGACAGCATAGCAATGGTGGGACAGAGGGTGAACTAATGCAGTAGTGATGTGCACTATGAACTATACAACTTGTGTAGGAAGACGGACAGGAGGGAAAAAACTGGGAGAAAATTAAGGAAGAGGTAACACTGTTTATAAAGAAATGTATTGATTACCTGACTTAATGCAACTGTAACACAAAAACAAAATTGAAAATAAAAATAAATTTTACAATAAAAATAAATTTGAAAAAATTAAATTAAGACCAGACTCAGTAGTAACCAACATTCAAGCAGATTATAGTCAATATTCCCACATTAAAGGTAAAGAAATTGCAATAGTAAGGAGGACTTCTGCTTCTAAGGAGAAATAAGTCACAGCAGGCCAATACTTTTAGTGCATAAAGTAGGAAACAAAAAAAGAGAGGCATATATTGCTGTCCTGAGAGGCAGAATTATGTGACTAGTTATTAGGAGGAAATAACAGAAGCAATAACATAAATAGACATTCTATTGGAATTTGTAAACATACATCTTAATTTATTAAAAGAAAAGTAAAAACAATAAAATGCTGTTAGAAAACCTGTATCAAAATAACAACAGCACAGAGTATTAGAAATATTTAAATTTTTAGTTTTATATATATATATATCTAAAATTAGTAAAAAATGGAAAGAGGGGAAGGAATAGTTCAAAGTGCAATGTCCCAAGAATTTTCAAAACTAATAACATTAACTGACATTATTTTAGGAGGGCAAGTAAACTCTCTGGCAAGAGAACTCTAAAGAAAAACATATTACAAGAACATCTAGTTAAACTATTGAAATTCGAAGACAGAATGGAAATTTGTTAAGCAATCAGAGGGAAAAAGGCACATTATATTTAAGGAGGAATAAGAATAATGAGTAGCAGGGCTGGGAAGATGGCTCAGTGGTAGAGCACTTGCCTTGCGTGCCTGAGGCCCTGGGTTCGATTCCTCAGCACCACATAAGCAAAAAGAAAAAAGCCAGAAGTGGCGCTGTGGCTCAAGTGGTAGAGCGCTAGCCTTGAGCTGAAGAGCTGAGGGACAGCGCCCAAGCCCGGAGTTCAGGCCCCATGACCGGACCCAAAAAAAAAAAGAAGAAGAATGAGTAGCAATAAAATAGGAACTAGGAAAGTCATAGCACCATGGTTTGAAATTTTTAAAGTGCCAGCAAGAAAACACTGCCAACTTTGCATTCTAACCAGCAAAATCAACTTTTGACTATTAAACAGAACATACTGTTACCAAGATCTAAGAAAGTTTATATTCATTTCTCTACGAGAAATGCAAGAAAAAAATTTTTGATAGAATAACAGATTTTTCAATTGGTAAACGTAATACCAATTTTTAAAATGATATGTCCCACGACTTACATGTATGTTTGTAAATACACACATAGTATATGTACATGGATATATATGCAGATATGTATATACAAATTTGGTGAAGATATTAGTCCAAAAGGATTATATAGGCCTAATTTTTCAGAAGCGGTAAAAGTAATAGCTTAAGTGGAATTTAAAATATCAGTGACAGATATTAAAATCTTTTAAATTAACCACCAAAAGTAAAATTACAAGGATGAATATATTTCACCCAGTCCAAAAAAGGAATAAATGAAGTCTAAAATTATCCTCCAGAAACATCTAGAAAGGATACTATACTAAAGAAGATATCTTATTTCTAGACACTGAACAATAAGTAGTATAGAACTATGACCCCTGAGGGAAAGAAATTATAAAAATATATATACTTTTAGCTTGAAATGCAGAAGAGGAAAACAAACCATAATATTGTCTTGATAGAATTCTGAATATTATGTAATTGGAATTAGGGGGGTACAAACTGCAAGGAGGAAGATTTGAACATAAGAGCTTTGGTGAGGGCTGGGAAGGTGGCTCAGTGGTAGAGCGCTTGCCTTGCATGGCTGAGGCCCTGGGTTTGATTCCTCAGCACCACATAAGCAAAAAGAAAAAAAAAAGCCAGTAGTGGCGCTGTGGCTCAAGTGGTAGAGTGCTAGCCTTGAGCTGAAGAGCTGAGGGACGGCACCCAGGCCCAGAGTTCAGGCTCCGACCAGACCCCCCCCCCCCAAAAAAAAAAGAGCTTTGGTGAGTACTGACCTACACATATGGAAAATAAACTTCTAGCCCCCTAGGAAAGATATGCTAGAAATAAATATGCTAAGCAATTTCCATGGCTCACAAAGGACAGATAATCTTTTGATTTCCTTAAGTTGTAAGCCTTCACAATTTGCAGGCTATTGGGCAAAGTTCATACCCAACATACTATAGCAGCCTGATCTTATCAACTAATACAGACTATAGCTGAAAATCAGTAACAAAGTTGTGGGGGTGGGGGGGGTGGGGGGGGAGAGGGGGGAATCCTTTAATGTTTAGATATAATATGCTTCTAAGTAACGATGAGTCAAAGAAGAGATCACAAGAATTGTTTTATATAAATGAGAATTTATATAAAAAATTGCGTGGTATGCAGCAAAGCAACACTTAGAGGGAAATGCCAATATTAGAAAAGAGCAATGATCTCACAAAGCAAAGAAGATTTAATTTGTGGTGGAAAATAGGATGCTCCTCTTTTAAGATCAGAGGCAAGATGAGGATGAATGCTTCCATCATTTCTGTCACTGCATACTAGGGGCCCTTAGCTAGTGTAGAAAAGCAAGTAAATAATCAAGAATAGACATAAAAATGACAAAAATAGAGAAAAATCAGTATGATTTAGGACCCAAATGATTGGTATCAGGTATAAAAGAGCACCTCACAAGTCCACAGGCATTGCAAGGGTAAGAAGAAATATTATGAAGAACTTTATGACAACTTAGATGAAATTGAAAGACACAAATTTTCTCACAAGATAACTACAAAGGTTCTATAAGTCTTTTTTTTTTCAAAATTGAGTAGTTTGAGACCATTCTGTAAACAAAGCTCTAGCCACAGGTGTCTTCACCATTATTCTATCAAATAGTTGAAGAAATACTATTTTACATTATTCCCTACAGAAAGGAAGGAAATACATTCTATCATGTATATATTAGCAATGAAAGAAAAGGAAATTGTAGTTTAAATTAGGGACAAATTTTACCAAATATGTGCAAGCCCTATACATTGAAAACTAAAGCATTATTGAAACTGAAGGCCTAAGTATGTACGTATATGTATATACAGGAGGGAATGGATGTTATATTACTTTTTGTTAATTCTCCTCATACTGATCTATAGATGCAGCATAATCCTGGTCAAAATTTCAGGATTATCCAAACAAAAAAAAACGCACCTGGAAAACAAAATGTGAGGTTTCACCAGCTAAATTTCAAAGATAGCTATGACTCTACTGTAAATAAAGACAATTTACTATCAACATAAAGGTCACAGCACAGAAAGGGGAATCTAGAAAGAGACCAGCACGTGCCTATGCTACTGATTTTTTAATAATGTATTGGGAATTCAGTGGACAAGTTGAGAATCCTTTCACATTGAATTGTTGGAACAATTGACAATTGAATGTTCATATGCAAAAAAATGAATATTTTCCTTTTCTTCACAATGGATGAGAAGAGTACTCAGCATAAATCATTGATCAGAGAGCATGAATTAAGACCATCAAAACTTTTGAAAGAACACATACAGAAAAGGTGTTTGTAGGCCAAAATACAGGTGGCCCATACCTGTAATCCTCCTAGCCCTGGGAGGCTGATATCTGAGGATTAGGGTTCAAAGTCAGCCCAGACAGGAAACCCATGAGATAAGACTCCAATTAAGCACTGGAAAAGCTGGAGGTCCCATCCATGAGATGAGACTCATATCTCCAGTGAAGCACTGAAAAGGCTGGAAGTAGAGCTGTGGCTCAAGTGGTAGAGCGCTAACCTTGAGCAAAAAAGCTCAGGGACAGCTCCCAGGCCCTGAGTTCAAGCCCCAGGATGGGCATGCGAACATGCGCATGCATGCGTGCGTGTGCATACGTAAACACACACACACGAGAAGGGAGGGAGAGGAGAGGAGAAACATTGTGCTGGTGGCTTTAGTGTGGCCTGTTTGTGGTCCATTGGATAAATGCCCAGGAGGGGAATTGCTGGGTCATAGGGAAGCTCTATGTCATTTTTAAAGGAACCTCCATATAACTTTCCAGAGTGGTTGAACAAGTTTACATTCCCACCAGTGGTGGAGTAGAGTTCCCTTTTGGACACATCCCCATCAGCATTTATTCTTAGTTGTCCTGTTAATTGCCATTCTAACTGGAGTAAGGTAGAATCTCAGTTTTTTGCATTTATTTTATGACTAGAGACATTGAACACTTCTTCATGCATCTACTGGTCATTCTTCTTCCTCTGAGAAGTCTCTTTTAAGTCTTTAGCCCATTTATTGGTTGAGTTGTTGAGGGTTTGTTTTTTGGGGGGGTTAACTTTTTGAGCTCTAAGTATATTTTAGATATGATGCCCCTGTTTGATGCATAACTAGTAAAGCCACCAGCACAACCATGTTCATTGAAGCATTGTTTACCATAGCCAAGATACAGAAGCAACCCAGATGTTTCTTAGTGGATGAATGGATTTAAAAAATGTAGTATATACAAGTAAACATATTGAATGATTAAAATACACACACAATGGGACATGATAGATTATATAGTACTCTAGACATTCACACACTGAGGTGAGGGTGAAGGAGGACATATTCATAGGAGTGGTTGACAAAGGCTCAATAGCTATGTGCATATGGTCATATAAAATAATGTTCTATGAAATGAACTCCAAGAAAAAGAAACAAGAGACATGTTTTAGTTGCCAGCCTTGCTGTTTTTGTTTTCTTTTCCTTTCATTTGTATTTGAGAGGGTAATTGGGGCACAGAAAAAGAGAAACAAGGGTGGTCAAATGCAACAGTGGTATTCACTAGACACTAAGTGGGGAAGGGAGAGAAAAACTGGGAGACTGAGGGAAGGGGAGAGGTGGTTCAAAAAGAATTGTACAGTTACTCATTACCTAATTCACTCTCTGTATATCAGCTCTACAATAACAAAAAGAAAAGATGTTTACCAAATAGATTGTATTATTGTATATGTATATATCATAAAATGATTATTTCTAGCTGGCATACTTATTGCTTCAAATAAGACAAACCTAATGCATAACAAAGATTTGATTAATTATTAAAACATCTATTTCACAAAATACTATTAACCAAAGTCAATTTATAGACTAGAAATAATATTTCAAAAGCTTGTGTCCTAAAAGGAAGCTGCTCATTCATTGTTAGTAATAGTACAAAATGATACAGCTACTTTGGAAGACAGTCTAGCAATCACCTTTACCTCTAAGTTCTCACATTAACTTTTACCAAGGCTAGCCTTGAATTAGGATCTTCCTCCCTCTGTCTCCCAAGTAGTTAGGACTATAGAGGTTCACTAATTTGCCTGTGGCAGTTTCTTAAAAAATTAAGTAGTCTTCTGTCCATCATTGTGCTCTATGGTATTTACCCAGTGACTTGATCTTTTATATTTACCCAGAAACCTGCACGTAAATGTTTATAGTAGCTTTATTTGTAATTGCTAAAACTTGGAAGTGAAATGTCCTTCAGTAGGTGAATGGATAAACTATACAATGGATTATTATTCAGCCATAGAAAGAAATAAGCTACCAAGCCATAGGAAGACATGAAAGAACCTTAAATATGTATTATTAAGTGAAAGAAACTGTCTGAAAAAGCCTCATATGGGATTATACCAACTATTTGACATTCTTGAAAAAAGCAGAAGTAGAAACAGTTTAAGAAATCGGTACTTGGATGGTGCAATTGTGAGAAACGGGGATGAATAGTTTACAACAGGATGCCTTTTAAGGCAATGAAGTTACTCTGTATTGTAGTGGTGCACAGGTGACATTTGTCAAGGCCTTTAGAATTGTTACAACATAAAGAATGAACTCTAATGTATTATTGGCTTTACTTAATAATGTATAATTCTTCGTTCATCAATTGCAACAAATTTACCACACTAATACAAAGTGCAACTAATAGGGTAAACTATGTTTGGGCAGAGGCAAAAGAATATATGTGAATAAGCCAAGTTCTGGTGGCTCACCCCTGTAATCCTAGCTACTCAGGAGGCTAAAATCTGAGGATTACAGTTCAAAGCCAGCCTGGGCAGGAAAGTCTGTGAGACTCTTATCTCTAATAAACCACCAGAAAACTGGAGTGGCACTGTGGCTCAAGTGTAGAATGCTTGCCTTGAACTGAAGAGCTCAGGGACAGCTCCCAGGCCCAGAGTTCAAGCCCCATAACTGACCAAGAAAGGGAAAGGGAGGGGAAGGGAGAGGAGGGGGGGGGGGGAAGGGGAGGGGGAGGGGATGGGGAAGGGAAGGGAAGGGAAGGGAAGGGAAGGGAAGAGTGTCTTCTTGGGAACTCTTAAGTGTCTTCTTACTTGCTTCAAAATTTCCCACATTTATTAGAAAAGCAAAGCACTTTAAAGATGGAGTCTGCTCAGTATTCATTCTGTTTGAATTTAGAAGTCTGCTTCACTATTCCTGTTAAGATATTCAAGTTCACAATGCATTTTTTGTGGGACGGGTTGTGTTATTTAAAACATAAGGAAACAGAAGGGCTCATTTCCCTACTTAAATTATGAGGTCTGTCAAAGTCCTATTCAAGAACCACCTGCTATAAATTAGCATTTTACTTTTTGTAGTTGTAGGGCTTGAACCTAGGGCCTCACACATTAGGCAGGTGCTGCACTAAAGCTCTGGTTTTCAAAATTGAAAAATAAGATTTCCCAAATGATCTTTGTTTTTTTGTGCATTTTAATTTTTTTAAAACCCAAAGTCTATCTAACTGAGGTTAACCTTAAAAATCCTCTTGCCTCAGCCTCCTGAGTGCTGGAATTACAGGCATGTATCAACACACATGGCTGATCTTCACATTTTTGCAAACATAATCCTATATAAAGATCATGTCTATTGTTCATTCTGTTATGGATAATTATTTAATAAAACATAATTGTATCTAGAATTCAAGCTTTGGCTAGGAAGTCATTAGGAATTCCTGTTGGTGAATAGATGACATAACATACTTCATATTTAGTCATCTGATTGTTCAGTCTTCTCAGAAGTGGTAATAAAACTGTAGCTACTTATAGCTAAGCTTTATCATTTTGCATGATACATTATAAAATCCAAATATTTCCTCTTATTAAACTATTAAATTTGGCTTTAATTAATCAACTCCCAATCAATACCTTTTAAAACTAGGAAAAAGAAATAAGCCAAGAACTGTCAAAAAAAAAAAAAAACTTACCTAGAGCCAAGCAAACACTTTTACTTTAGTAACTCTTTTGTCTTTTCAGGCTCATGAGAGGCTTGAAGATTCAAAATTAGAAGCTGTCAGTGACAATAACTTGGAATTAGTCAATGAAATTCTTGAAGATATCACTCCTCTGATAAATGTGGATGAAAATGCAGCAGAGCTGGTTGGTATACTCAAAGAGCCTCATTTCCAAGTAAGATTTCTGTCATTCCTTACCCCAAAGTCCTCTGTTAGTAGTTAAGCTCCAGCTGAAGCTAATTTTTCCTTGTGAGGCTTACTTATGAAAATATTTTATAAGTATGTAAATTCCAACAGGTATCCTGATATGCCAAAGGTACAAAAGCAGACACATTATTACACAAATGCATAGTGTTTGTTGGGAAGAAAGTCATCACCTTGGACCTGTCTTTGCACAATTTAAGAAATAGCAAGCCTGGTTCACTATCGGACCACACTATAGTAGTATGCTCCTCATTAGGAGAACAGATTTATTTTCCTTCTTTACTGTCACTCTATTTGCCATTCCTCCTTTGGCCCAATAATGAACATTGTTTTTAGCATTGCTTTTCAAGATGAGGATATAGTTGGTAACTGTGGAACAAAAGAACTAAGGATAGAAACCATTGCATAACATACTTTGTTCCACAGATGAAAAAAAAAAGTGGAATTGAAGCATTTCCTTCTGAATGAGTTAATCAGTTTCATAAGGAAGAATCTGCTTCAAAGTAAAAACAGGAAAAATTATTTTAAACCAGTAATAATTAAGACAATGTGAACTGGGGAGTGTTAGGAAAATAGAATAATGGAAGAGAATAGAAACCCTAGAAATACATCCAGTCATATATAGCAACTTTGTGACTGTTACTGCATTATAATGGAGACAGGGTGTTGGTAGTATGGAAGAATAAGATCTGTAGTCTGAAAATGGATTGCCAACACCCTTTGTTTGGTCTTGGCTAATATCTAAATTGTTTTTGTTTTTAATTTGTAGTCTGTCTATTCCAAAGAAAATATTTTTAACCTAGGGTTATTTGTTTTTTGTTTTTTAGGTAAACCCTCACTTTAGGCTTGGCTGGCCTTGAACTCACAATTATATTGCCTCTACCTCCCCAGTTATCACCTCACTTCACATAAATTTAGTCTTATGATGAGCATGTACAGTTACAGTACAACTTACTCCTTAGGATGGGGAATGAAAAAAATTTTAGTATACAAGAATATTTTTGCAAGAAATTCGTAGAAAGCTAGATCACAATCATCCGTGATGACAGTATATACATAATAAATACAGAAGAGAAAATGTGCATTATATCTAGGACTCTTCTGACTCATTTTTTGTCCTAAAATGACGTTTTTAACGGACTAAATCCTTTATTGACATATAACACTTCCTATCATTGATGTTAGTTGTTGGTTTTTATTTTCTTTCAGACAGCTTTTTAATAGACATTTTGTATGTTTGAAAAGTATATCATCATACTAACAGACATAAGATAAAAAATTATCACTTAAAATTTTATAGTACTGATGAATTGAGATTAATGATAAGCATGGAATGAGGAGAATGACACTAGTGGCAGGGAAATTCAGTGCCCCCTTAAAAACCCAGATTCAGTTTACAGTGAGCATGCCCCTTGAAAAATGTGTGATTGAATACTGACTCTTCAAATCTAAAATAAGAATACAAAATTGTTCAATGATAACACATATAATTTAAAATTGTATATATTTGATTTGATTTACATTTGGGAATTTAATAATGTGTGTGTGCCTTGAAAATTTTTAGTACTGCATGGTGATAATGAACTAACAAATTATTTTTAGTAACATGTTCCATCAGTAGCTAATAACCTCAGGCTGTTTTGACTCCTTATAGTCACTCTTGGAAGCCCATGATATTGTCGCATCAAAGTGTTACGATTCACCTCCATCAAGTCCAGAAATGAATAATTCTATCAATAATCAGTTATTACCAGTAGATGCCATTCGTATTCTTGGTATTCACAAAAGAGCTGGGGAACCATTGGTGAGTAGACAAATCAATGCCACTTTAGGTCTTAGATATATTTTGTGGTTCAGTCACTACTTTGCTTTTGTCTTTTGTACATATTACTGTGGATTTGAATCCATGTTTCTTTTATCAGATCTGTATATACATACATAGTTGATGTCTTTAAATTTGGTTTAGCCAATGAAACTAAATCAAAGTGAAAAATTAAACTGAGTAGCAAAAAGTTTAAAAGATTAATATTCCATTTCTTCTACTCTTTGAAGAAATGAACTGCTTGTTTATTAGTAGAGTAACAAAATACGAAAGTTACTATAAAAATTTAAAGGATAATGTGATCCTGTGAGTAGTGAAGTTTACTGTTTCTAATGAGTCCTAACAAAGAACAGTGATATAAATAAAAGGAAAAGCCAGGGATAAGCCTATCCAAATGCCAGAATATCTTTACCTACCTCCTCAAGTTTCATGTTATCCTGTGGAAGATAGACTACATACTGATATTGGCCTCATTTTTAGGGTTATCCCTGCCATGGAAGTCCCTTTGACAGAGTGGCATAATACATTGTCCCAGTTAAAACTAAGCCAGTGGGATTAAATTATAATCACAGAAAACGTGAGGAAAGTCAGAACAATTCAGTTACCTGGTTTTTATTCGCATTTATGTACTAATGCATATTTACATATTGATTCTTAATAAAAAATAAATGGCTTTTATTTTTTCATTTTTATTCCTAAAGGGTGTTACATTTAGAGTTGAAAATAATGATCTAGTAATTGCCCGAATCCTTCATGGAGGAATGATAGATCGACAAGGTCTCCTGCATGTGGGAGATATCATTAAAGAAGTCAATGGCCATGAGGTTGGAAATAATCCAAAAGAATTACAAGAATTACTGAAAAATATTAGTGGAAGTGTCACCCTAAAAATTTTACCAAGTTACAGAGATACCATTACTCCTCAACAGGTTGGTAATCAATTTTTTTTATCATACTAACATTTTTGTTCCCTTAATCATTCTATTGGATATAATCACCAGTTGCCTTTTTTCCCCTAAAGATCAGAACAGCTGTCTGAATTAATTATTCTAAAGTGGCTTATTTTGTCATGAGTGAATATTTGAATTTTAAGCAATTAATACTGTTATGAAAGAAATAATGACCTATCTTTGTGAGCACTAGAAACCTTGTTATTATAGAAGTCTACAGCTAGATATCAGAAAAACCTTAAAACTTTTCATTAGTCATGTGAACATTTTTAACATGCGGTATTCAAAGTATGTATTAAGGCTTCTAGATTCGTGTTCCTGTGATAGGAGGCTGATGGAAGAATAAAGCCAGAAGGAAGAATGGATTGAAGAAAATCTTGGACACTTGTCTTTCACACATTTGATCCTGTAGTTTAGGTAAAATAGATAATTGAACTAGGGAATGTTCTAGTGATAGAGACATCACCCTCTGTAGTCCAAACCAGAAATACCATAGCTATGATGAACTTTATAGGAAAAATAAATTTTTGTAATGTTTTGATTCTAGGTAGATTTTTGTGTCTGATGAGTGAGGTTGCATGAAATGTATGGATATTTATTTAAGCCTTGGCATACGCATAAAATTTTCCCCATCTCCTAATTTCTTAATCTCTGTATTTTACTTAGCCTTTGGAGCTGGGAAAGGAGAGGGATTTGTATCTGTGTAAATCTGTGAAGCAGTAGCAGGCTTAGTCTGCCTTAAAAAGAGAAAGGTAAGCCAGGCACTAATGGCTCACACCTATAATCCTAGCTAATCTGGAGGCTGAGATCTGAAGATCATGGTAGGAAGCCAGCCCAGGCAGGAAAGTTTATGAAACTCTCATTTAACCAGCAAAAAAGCCAAAAGTAGATCTGTGATCAACTAGTAGAGTAGTAGCCTTCAACAAAAAAGCTCAAGGACAGTGCCCATGCCTTGAGTTGAAGCCCCAGGAAAAAGAAAAGGTACTTGAACAGAGATAGACTCCCAAAGATAAGCTAAGACATATCCACGGTAGGACTTTTAAAAAATGGACAGGAGAACTCATTATGTTGGAGCATAGGCATAAACCAAGACTGTCCTGGGAAAATCAAGAGTGTCCTATTAACAGAGCCTGTGAGGAAGGAAGGGCATTGAGGCTCTTCAGATCTTTCACTAGCATCTCTGTTGTGTAGTACATAGTCTCCTCCCCACCATTGCCCATGGTGATGCTCTCTTCAGTTTCAGTTGACCTTCTGGGGTCAAACTATTAAGTGGAAAATTCCTGAGGTAAACAATGCATAAATTTTCAGCTGCACACCATTCTGAGTAATGTAATAACTATTGTTGAGTACTGCTCAGGATGTGAATCATTTGTCCAGTGTATCCATGCTATATACACCCCCTGTCCATTAATCTCTTAGTATCTATCCACTTTGTCTATCATGATAATGTGAGTGTAGGTTAACCTTATTTTGCTTAATAATGGCTCCAAAGCTTAAGAGAAACACATAGGCAAAATCAGAAGCCATAGTGCTTCTTCCTTATAGTGCAAAGGAGAAAGCTCTCAATTAAAAATTTTATTCCTAGACTGCTAAAACCTATAATAAGAATAGGACTTTTGTCCATAAGATAATGAAAGAAATAAAAGCTGGTTTTACTGTGTGTCAGTGGCTCATACCTATAATCCTAGTTTCTTGGGAGACTTAAGATCTGAGGATTGTGGTTGGAAGCCAGCCCCAGCAGGAAAGTCTTTTATCCCCAGTTAACCACCAAAAGCCAGAAGTGGAGCTGTGGCACCATTTGAACAAAAAAGTTTGAGTTAAAAGCTCAGAGAGCTCAGAGAAATGCCCCTGAGTTCAAGCCCCAGGACTGGCACCAAAAAGAAAAAATTAGTTTTACTGTCTCCCCTTAGAGCAAAAGTTATGGCCAAATTACATGTTAAGGGCTTAGTTCAAATGGAAAATTCATTAAATTATGAACTTTAGTAGTATTTGAGTTTTAAAGACCATGGAAAAAGTAAGTATCTCTATGTTGCCTCTCAAATCTCTTGCTCGGACTGCTGTGAGAACAGAGGGAAGCCTGGAGCATTCTTTTCGGGTAGTTTTTCAAAGGATGTCAGTAAATCAGCTTAAGGTCGGTGTTTGTTTTCTGTCACTGTGACAAGTACCTGAAAGAACAATTTAAAAGGAAGAAAGATTTATTTTGCCTCATAGTTTGAGAGATTTCAGTCCATGATTCTTTGGCACCATTGATTGTGGTCTGTGGTAATACAAAACATCACGTCAGAAAGGCATGAAAGGAGCAAAGTTGCTCATCTCATGGGGCCCAGAAGCAGAGAGTCAAACAGGAACAGTTCAGGGCAAGATAAACTCTTCAAGAACAAGCTCTCAGTGCCTGTTTCCTCCTGCCTTCCCTACCTCCTAATAGCTCATTCAATATGAATTCATTAGTGAATTAATCATTGACAAGGTGCTCTTGTGGTGATCCAGTCATCTTTCCACCATCTGACCAACTGACTATCTGGATATCCAGCACATGAACTTTCTCAATAGAAATTCTTTTAACTCATTTTTTAAAACCATCGAAATCTAGATACCAAAGAAATGACAGGTCTCTTTCATTCAAGGATATACATGTAACAATTCCTAATAAAATATCAGCAAATCTGAGAATGATAATACCATCTCCAAATTGGATTTATTGCAGGTATGCTAGCACAGATTTTCATTAGAAGAATCCATATATAGGCAGATTAATAGCTTCAATAGAGAATTTGATAAATTTTAATACCTATTCATGTTTTTTTAAGATTAATAAACTAGGAACAGGAGGTAATCTCCTTAACATTTTTTTTTCAAAAACACACTAAAATGAAGACATTCTTAGGAGTAGCCTATGTTAGAAGCTCTCCCTTTAAAATGAGAAAGTAGATCTGCTATTCTGCTGGAGACCTCAAATGCCAGCTGAAGCCCTATTTCCCACAAAATAAAGAGCACATCATTAACCAAGAGACTTGCCCACTGTCAGTCCCAGTCTTCCACTGGTAAAAGGAATTGCCCACAAATGATAAGACCTAAAGTATTTTTTTTGTAAATGACAGTACAAATCTTCAGTTCTTAAAGAAATTAGGAATGAAGCGTGTCTCATGTTAAAGGGGATAAAGACCAGCAGCATTCAGACATCTCTGGCAACCAAACTCAAACCATTCCCAGTCATGCTGAAACAAAGCAGCTGACAGAAATGTCACCCAGGATCTTAAACCATCTTGGCACTGACAAGCTTAAGGACGCTGGCAGAAGCTGGATGGAAAAGCACCACTTGCTACTGCAGAAGGAGGGTGATCTCTTTCAGAATTTTGATGAGGTTTTAAACAATGAAACAAACAATTGATTCAACTTCTAAAAAAGTAAAATTTCAACTTTTTTACTATCTTTAATTTTTTAAGTAGAATATGAAATATACTACCATCTTTTGTATTTAAAATTCAGGGACCCTAGTATACTACTTTTAAATTATTGCTTATATCAACTATTTGTTTTCTATCTTTGAGGCAGAAAAGCAGTAGCTTATTAATGGTAAGAGCTAGGTTATTGTGGTAAACCAGCTGATGATTAATGTTATTACCAATTTGCAGCTGTTACGAGTAAACTTACTATAGACATTTAAATGTAATTCTCTTGAGTAAATACAAGTTGGATGATTGTGGTGGATATATGTTGAATTTTTTTTAAAAATTAATGATTTTCAAAAACAGGTCTTCCAATTTACATTCCCACCGATATTGTATGAGAGGGAGTCACTTTACATCATCATTGTAGTTAGTATTATCGGTCTTTTAGTATTACAGTAAATACACAGTATTATTGTGATTTTAATTTACAGCATTTTCAATATTTGTGTTCAGTAATGAGTATTGAATTGTTTGTCTTCTTGTTTAAAGTGTTCTTTATGTATTCTGATAACAAGTACTTCATCAGTATTGTGATTTGCAGAGATATTCTCTCATTCTGTGACATTTCTTTCTTTTATCAGTGTCATTCAGAAAGTACAAATTGATCAGTTTTTCCTTTAATAAACCGTGTTTTCATAAGAAATTGTATGTGAGAAAGATTTTCTTCTATAATTTTATGAGTTGGTTGGTGCTTTACCTCTAGATATATGATACATTTACTCTTCATTTTGATATAAGGCATGAAGAAAATACCTGACTTGGTATTTTTACTTTGTCTCTCTCTTTTTTTTTTGCCATAGATATCCAATTCTTACTGTAGCTCTGCTTAGTTTTCCATGTTGGATAGTTTTTTAGTGGGTTATGGTAGTGCATGCCTCTAATTCCAGTACTCAGAAATCTGAGACAGGATTGGGAGTTTTATGGTCATTCTGGGCTACTTAGTAAGACCTGTTTCAAAAAAAAACAAAAAAGTTCACTCATCTTTCTTCTGCAATTTGCAAAAGAAATATAGTTAGTAAAATTGCACCTGATTTTTTTAATGTGTGTTTTTGTGCTTGCCTGCTTGCTTTTATATCAGACATTTTGGTTTATTTAAGTTCAGATTGAGTCTTTTTTGTTTGTTTTGAGGTAGTTCCCTAGCTCAGGCTAGCTTTGAACTCAAGATCCATCTGCCTAAGTATGCTGAGGACTAGGATTATAAATGTGAACCACCATGCCTAGCTGAGTTGAGTGCTGGCTATTTTTTAATTAGGATTCTTAAGCTTCATCCTAAGATTCAGTTAGTTTACTTGGGAAAAGTTTCATCTTTGAGATCTAGCTCCTTAAACTTTAATACCACAGCAGGGGAAGTCTAGGGCATAAACTTTCAAAGTGCCTCTACTCAATATCATGAATTAGGAGGTTTTTCTATTCAACCTGGTATAAAGAGGAGATGTTCTTAACCTACATGACCTGATTGTTTCCCTATTAAGACTTTCAAGTGATTCTTTTTTTTTTTTTTTTTTGGTCGGTCATGGGGCTTGAACTCTGGGCTTGGGCGCTCTCCCTGCGCTCTTCAGCTCAAGGCGAGCACTCTACTGCTTGAGCCACAGGTTTTCTAGTGGTTTATTGAAGATAAGAATCTCACGGACTTTCCTGCCTGGGCTGGCTTTGAACTGCAATCCTCAGATCTCAGCCTCCTGAGTAGCTACGATTACAGGCATAAGCCACCGGTGCCCAGCTCAAGTGATTCTTAAAGTGTCATGAGGAAAGAGCTCTGTGATCAATCAGTGCACAGCTGAACTAAGAGTCCCTGTGTTTCTCACTGTCTCTGAAACTTTCCTCACTGGTACTACTGTTCCATGTAGGCCACTGGCGCCCAGCTCAAGTGATTCTTTTTTTTTTTTTTTTTTTTGGGGGGGGGGGGTCCGGTCGTGGGGCCTGAACTCCAGCCCTGGGCGCTGTCCCTCAGCTCTTCAGCTCAAGGCTAGCGCTCTACCACTTGAGCGACAGCGACACTTCTAGCTTTTTTCTTATGTGGTGCTGAGGAATTGAACCCAGGGCCTCGAGCATACAAGGCAAGTGCTCTACCACTGAGCCACCTTCCCAACCCAAAATTACTTTTTTTTTTTTTTGGTCGGCCATGGGGCTTGAACTCTGGGCCTGGGCACTGTCCTTCAGCTCTTCAGCTCAAGGCGAGCGCTCTACCACTTGAGCTACAGCGCCACTTCCTCAAGTGATTCTTAAAGTGTCATGAGGAAAGAGCTCTGTGATCAATCAGTGCACAGCTGAACTAAGTCCCCGTGTTTCTCACTGTCTCTGAAACTTTCCTCACTGGTACTACTGTTCCATGTACTGTGGCCACCTGAACCTCCTTGGTCTCCCAGTTCATTTTCTCAATTTGAAGCTCACCAGGTTGCAACATGATTTTTTTCTTCCTGAGTTGTAACCTGGAAACTTTTCTCAGCATGGCTCATCTTGCTTGATTCCATGTTTGCCTTATCTGATCTTGGATCTATAGTCTTCAGACATATTGTTTTATATGTACAAAGGTCAACTTTTTAGATATCTTAGGTGAGAAGGTCCTTGATACTTCATCTAAGTCTGAAAGAAGAGTTTTTTTTAATTATTATTACTATAATGATATTAATTTTGAATAAGTGAATCCCATGATTCAGATATCAAAAAATATCTGATTCTTTTCTAGTACAACCTCGTCTTCGCTGTCCCAGTAAGAAAAAAGAAAATATGATACTAGTTTCTCTTCCAAAGCTTCTTTTTTTTGGTGTGTGTGTGGGGGGAGTGCCAGTCATGGGGCTTGAACTCTGGGCTTGGGCACTGTCCCTGCATTCTTCAGCTCAAGGCAAGTATTCTACCACTTGAACCACAGCTCCATTTCTGGTTTTCTAGTGGTTTATTGGAGATAAGTCTCATGGACTTTCAGATCTCAGCCTCCTGAGTAGCTAGGATTATAGGCATGAACCACCTGTGCCTGGCCCCAAGCTTCTTTATTCTTATTCCCCTATTCCATGAAAAATTTTTATAGTGTAAATGCTATTTTGAACCTTTTTTCAAGTAGCTATGTAGCTTAAGAATCTTATCACTACCTAATATTCCAAATGGACATTTTTTTAGCATTGACTATTTAAGCAGATTGCTTCTTTAGTTATTAGGAATAGTTCAGTAGTTAATAGTTTCATAAGTAGTCACTTTGCACCTTAGCTGAGTAATATAGCTGTTGAATTCATTCTAAGAAATGGATTATAGGTTAGGGGGGTTGCATTAGTAATCTTAATGATCCTATTATCTAATAGTCCTCCCAAGAGATTCAGTGAGTCCTTCAGAGCCTGTTAGGAAAGTGCCTATAGGAAAATAGCATAGTCCTATTTACAGAATGTCAATTATTTTGATTTTTGTAATCAGATAGGAAATAAAACATTATCCTAATATAATTTTAGTTTTTCTATTTTTGAGTGAGGCTGAACATGTGTGTTTACAAACTACTTGTATTTCCTTTTCTGTTCTATTCTAAATTCTTGGTCATTCTTTAGTAAGAATATGAAATTGCAATTCATAACCTAATAGTGAAACACTGTAATATACACTTCATAAAACATAATTGTACTAAATCTAGCCAACTCCTATTTCAAAGTCATTACAAAATTCCAAGGTGAAAGGTTAGGTTAATTGATTTTTCAGATAGATTTACCAAAGCAAAGCCAGATTAATCTGAGTTTTTTGAGCACAGGGGTAGTGCTTTAAAAATTGTTGATAAATAATTTTTCTTCTTGAAATCTTTTATATATGATAGATGTCGTTTATATTCTCATAAATAATAACATGTCCTGAACAATATAAAGGGAGCTAGGTAACTGATATTTGAAATTTAGATAAAATGTGTAACTTTATGGTTGCAAAATGTCTTGTCTCACATAAAAAGACTGATAAACAGATCCAAGCCAAGACCACAGTTATGGTCCACAAATCAGTGCACCTTCCAAAGTGAGGCGAGTATTGGTCTTTTTAATGACTTTGCATGCCTCCCTTTTCTTTGCCTCATCTCAAATGTCTCCAACTTGTTTCTGTTATTTACAATTTGCAGGCATCATAACCTTGGGACAATTGTAGGGAGGTAGATTTTTTTAATTTCAAATTTTATTTTTCATTAAATAGTACAAAAGGATTTTAGTTCAACATTGTTGATTTGTGAACTAGAGCATCTTGATCAGTACCACCCCTCCATCATTCTGCCCCCTCTGTCTGTCCCCACCCTCCCACATATCAGGTTACTTGTTTCCATTTTCACATGTGTACATTGATATTACAATTGAATTCAACCACCATTTCACTATATCTCTGTCTAAATGAGAGTAGTAATACAAGTGTGTAAGATACAATGGGCCAGTAATTTATATCTTAGTTTATTATAATTTAAAAATCTGGCTTTATTTATGCAATTAAAATATATATTTCTAGAGTTGCATCAATATGGAGAGGCAACCAGCACGCGTCCGGCAGGTATGATATTCCAAAAAAATCTCCGGTATTCAGTTTTCTTGTCTTATTAGTCAACTAAATTTACATTGATTAGACTTAGTTATTTTGGATTTTTCTCACTGTCAAAACATTGAACCTGCATGCTACTGTGAAATTAGCCAACTATCACATTTTAGCAATTTTAATATTGTTTGTATGCTTGCTTAGTAGATATTTCTGAAACTATATATTGGGAAACAATTATTGGCCTACTGGTTGTTTTAAGCATTCATTTTTTTTTTTACCCTTTTCAAAGTAACTGTAAAACTTCACAATTTTTTTTGTTAGAATCATTTAATTGTAAATAACTAAAATTTTATAACATGCACCCAGACTGTACTTTTAAATAATTTCACAAGGCATTGGTCATCAGTTTTCATTATACTAATAATGCACTGTATCTGCTTATGCTGTTTGAATAGATTGTTTGATTAGTTATAGAAGTGTGATAAATATGCAAATAACATTGTTAGTTTGACTAATTGTGTACTTTCCTGCATACTAAAATTTACTTGCTGATTAATTGTGAGTGTTCTTTAAAAGATAAAATTTGAATTTTTATGAATACATGTGAATCCAGGTTAATTCCAACAGTTTGCCATCAAATGTTGACAGCACTTAAGTAGGATTCAGTTAAAGTGAATAAGCAAAATATTCCAGATATTGGAGATCTGAAATAACAGTTGTGACTGATTTTAATTTTACTTTTATTAATAAATAAGACTGAAAGATGGAAATGTTTAAATGACTTGAAATTGGAAAATATTTGTAAGTCTTTAGTATTTGTCTTCACTAATTTAATGCTGTTATTTAAATTTAAATTATGAAAATCAGAATGAGTTCAACAGGTTGTTTTTATATTTTAGCCAGTAAAAATCTTTAAAAGTATTACTAGAGGGGAAAGTTGAGTTTTTAACTTTTTCTAAAGGTTATTAAATATATTTCAGGTCTGATTACATATGAACTTATATGTTTGATTTTGGATTCAGGTTACCTTCACCTAACATATCTGAAATTCCTGCCTTATATTAGTTACATATATTATAGGATGTTAGTTGGAAAGTGTATTTATTTATATTAAAAAGTATGCAGTTGGTTGGAAAATCAAGTGAGAAGGCTGCGGAAGGTAAAAGAATGATGGATTAGAATGATTATCAAACTGTTGATTAAAGATGAGAATTTAAAATACAAACAAACAAAGCATTAGTGCTTCTTATTTGGTAATGCCAAATTCTATTAATATTCTAACAATTTGATTTTTTATTTGTGAGAAATAGTTGTTTATCTGAAGTACTATATATAATCACAGTGACTTGAAAAGGATTTTAAAATCCAATGGCAAATGATACAAGTGTGGTACTTTTCATTGTGCTGTGTGTTTTAGGTATTTGTGAAGTGTCATTTTGATTATAATCCATACAATGATAACCTGATACCCTGCAAAGAAGCAGGACTGAAGTTTTCCAAAGGAGAAATTCTTCAGATTGTAAACAGAGAAGATCCAAATTGGTGGCAGGTTAGTATGCTTCTCAAAAGTTCCTCAACTGCTTTTCTATTTTTAATCTTAGATCTGGCCAGTATCTGAATATACAGGAAGAAGGTATTAGCATTTGTTCCAATGATTTTTCCCGCATGAACAGCTCCTGCTTCATGGCTACTAATTTTGATGACAGAAGACCAAATTGAGAGGGAATTTGTGAGTAGCTGTTAATAAATGCAGAATTAACCCACCTGTGGTACTATCCCCTTGGTTTAGGCATTAGACTAATTGATTCTTACACATGGATGATTGCGTTAAAATATGGTATCAGACAAGAAGAACCTGCTTGGGGTCAATGTTTGTCAATGTTTGGTTTTGGTTTGTTTTAACTAAGAATTTGTTATAGTAGACACAGCAGTCTTTATCTTGTGTGTGTACGTTCATGGCAAGTAAAGCATAATTTTTCAAGCCCTTAAATCTACCCACTTCTTCCCATTGTTTTTGTATTTGTTCATATCATCAAATAACTACAATATTTAGAATTGGAGAAACTGGTAATAACAAAATCTGTAATCTTTTAAACTATCAAAACAAATGGTAGTATCATTAGAGAATAAGATGTAAGAAGGAAGGACCAAGGACCTAACACAAAACTTCAGAATTAACTGAGGTTCTGGCAACTCATGTTAGCACTATTATGTTACATACTAATTTTTTTCCGTGTTTTTGTTGGTCATGGGGCTTGAACTCAGGGCCTGCTCGCTTTCCCTGAGCTCTTTGTTCAAGGCTAGCACTCTACCACTTTGAGCCACAGTATCACTTGCAGTTTTCTGGTCATAAATTGGAGATAACAGTCTCAAATACTTTCCTCCCTTGGCTGGCTTTTTGAGTGTCAGTCGCCAGGTCTCAGCCTCCTATTGTATGTTGACCTCTAAGGGGAAATGATTCCCATATTGAGGAGAGTCTTACTAGTACATCTTAAGACCATATTGGTACAAAAATGAACAAGTAGGCAAATTGGAGTTCATAATTTTGATAGCTTTCCACTGAATTTCTTAATACTCTCTTTGTTAAAATCTGCTTTCTATGGCTATTTTGATTTTTTTCCCCAGTTTTCCCTTTTTTCATTTTCTGTAAATGCCATTGCTTTGTTTTCTCTTCTAAGTCAGTATTATCTCCATTTTGATAGCCTTTTGCTTTAATTCTAGTGTTCAGGATTGCTACAAATAAGACCAGATTTTCTATGCCAGTTGTTAAGGATAAAGACACTAATTTAAACCTCTAACAATCAGTTCTCTAGCAGTCAGTAACTATCACTTTAGTTTTATTTAAAAATATTTTGGCACTAGAAGAAGTTTTGGCTATTTGATTTTACTACCTCCTAAAATATCTAGATTTCTCTTAGGATAATAAAAATTTACACTCTAAGCTAGGCCTGGTGGTACATGCCTATAATTCTAGCACTTGGTAGAGGCTGGAATTCAAATTAAAGGCCAAAACCTTAGTTACATAGTAAGACTTTGTCTCAAGAAAATAGGAAAAAAGAAAAGAAAAAGCTAACCTCTACACTGTCCTCCCAGCATTGGCGTTTTTCGTTATTTGTCCCCAGGAAATACCAGTAATAGTGAGATCTAGGTTCCTAGTACATATCTTATTAACAGTATTAGATGAAATGTCTGCTTAGCATATATTGTAGAAAGCATATAATCCTTCCTTTTCTTTTTACAAACTTAATAATTCAAATTTTAGTAATTTACAGAGCCTATATAACATAATAGTTTCAGTCCTTTGCTATTAGAATATATATATTTATATATGTATGTATATAAAGAATCCTAGGTGCCAGTTAATTCAAGTGTTAAACTAGCTTAACCATGGATTTTTAACAATTGTTTCTAAGAGGAAATGTGATTTTTTTAAGCTGACAATTGCTTGTTCTGTTACTAGAATATCGTCTTAAAATTTTGGTCACTGAAATATATGACTCATTAATTTGATTTTAGGCTAGCCATGTGAAAGAGGGAGGCAGTGCTGGTCTCATTCCAAGCCAGTTCCTGGAAGAGAAGAGAAAGGCATTTGTTAGAAGAGACTGGGACAATTCAGGTAATGAAGTCCACACATTTTAGTGTTTAGTATTTAGTATTCACCTTTCTTTGTCTAAATATACAAATGCATTTCTTTAAAACATAAGTAGATATTGCCCCTCCTATCTACTTTCTTTCCTGAAACTGTGTGTGTATGTTTGTGTGTGTGCGCTCCTGATAGCACCTTATGTGCCCATCTTGAAACATCTTTTTTATCCTTTCTGCCTACTGGTGGAGTAACCTCAGTACCCTGCTATCCTCGGGAGCTTAGGCATTCTGCCCCCATAACATATCGTTTATCATATTTTTGATAGATTGCTTAAACTATATTGGTCTTATCCTCAGGACCTTTCTGTGGAACCATAAGTAGCAAAAAAAAGAAAAAGATGATGTATCTCACGACCAGAAATGCAGGTAGGTTTTAAGTACTTTTAAATGTTCTTTTGAGTGGTCTAAGTAGCTTTATATCATCAATTTAAATGGTACAAACTCTAAATACATAATTTAATAAAAATTTAAAATAATACATTTTAGATTTGTACCCAGTTGCAAGTGTGGCATATGAACACATTGTAAAATATAAGATAAATTATTTAAATCTCAAGTTTGAAGCCAACCTAGGTTACATAGGACGACCTTTAATCTCAAGAAAATAGTGAAATATAATGTTATACTGATACTGTGTAATACTGCATGTGCCTTATTTTGTGAATATAGTTAACAAAATAACTTGGTTAGGATTTATGCTTGTTCAGTGTAAGACACTGTAGTAAATACTGAAACTATTTTTTTCACATTTTCATATGAATTTATTCTTTTATTTTTTCAAATTCTTTATTGTGATTAAGTGATTACATAATTTCCCAAATTTCACAGTATTGTGGGATAGTGATGCTTAGTTAAAGTCACAAACATATTCTAGCTTTCATGGGGCAGATTGTCTATTGTGGTCTATAACATTTATGAGTTCTATGAGCCTTGTGATACAGTTATTTCTTCCACATTGGGTGATATGGACATTTCTTTTGCATAGCATCAGCTGTTCCCTCTTTCCCACTAGTTCCCTCCCTCCCATCACTGCCATTAAGTTGCTTAGTTCATTTTGATCAATGTCTAGTGCAGTTGATGGGTCCTGCTGTTGTATGTTTTTCCCTGATTCCCTCTAGTTCTGTGTCGTTCTCCTGGTTCCCCTCTGGTGTGCACATACATACCATATATGTGATCAGCATCGTGGGGTTATTTAGTAGTGATTCCACCAGATGAGTGGAAGTCCTTTGTTTCTTAAGCCTTGTTAATTTTGTCATATCACCTTACGTTTTGGATTTAACATCCACTTATCAGGGAGACCATGTGCCATTTGTCTCATTCCTCTTGGCTAACCTCACTAAACATGATTTCTTCTAGTTCCATCCATTTCCCTGCAAATGCCATTATTTTGTCCTTTCTAATGGCTGCATAATATTCCTTTGTGTATAGATACCACAATTTTTGAATCCATCCATCTGTGGTGGGACATCTGGATTGTTTCCATCCTGGCTATTGAGTGAAACTATTTTTTCAGAGAATTTTGAAATAGTAATTTTATGTGCCATTACTAAAGGACAGGATGCCTTTATGAATAATTTTAATTATGATTAAGGACAGCGGTCCCATAGCATTGTTTATGCAACTTTTGGAAAAATAGTACTAGACCAAAGGAATCTTAGTCTCATAGGATTCTTTCTTAAATTTTTTGGTGTATATATTTTTAAGATTTTTTTTTAAAAGAAGGAAATAGTAACCATGTAAGGTAATACGTTAATAATCTTGTTTATAAGATCGCAGTGCATTCATACGTTAGAACATCAAGTTGTATAGTTTTTAAGTATATCCATTCCTATTTGTCAATTATACTTAAAACTTGAAAAGTCATTTTAAAAAAATTAAAACCACAGACCAAGGAGGTAAGGGTATAGCTTAAAATTAGAATCTGTCTCAAATAGGAAGGATAAAAAGGAGAGGGAGGAGAAGAGGAAGAGGGAGGGAGAGGAGGAAAAGAGGAAGGAGATAATTGTGGAAATCACCAAATTAAAATGGGAAGGGGAAACAAAGGAGGAGGCTACAATGCTTGATAAGAAATGTACTCATTATCTTGCCCATGTAATTGTAACCCCTCTGTACAGTATTTTCACAATAAAAAAATAAAAATAAATAAATAAATAAAATAAAATATTTCAGTTCTACACTGTTAATAAACTAAAGAATGGAATATTTTTTTAATTAGAAAAGACTAGTATTAAAGAAGATGATACCAGTATGCTGTTTGTACACATTTTTTACAATATTTCAGAAGGACATACTCATTTGTGCAGCGTAAGTATGCTCTTGTCCTTCAGGCTCAATAGATGCTTTTTAGAGTAACCCTCATAAGATGTTCTGTATTTTATTTGTATATATTGATAATAAGGAGCTGTGAATGACTAGAGTATTTAGTAAATTAGGATAAAACATGGAGATTTTTTCTACCTTGATTAGATAAAATTTTAAGGGCAAGGGCATGGAAGCAAGTATATAAACCTGAAGATAAAATTTATTGTACCTCACCAAATTTACAAAAACTGATTAGGGCTTCATGTGAAGTGATACTTAACAATCAAGACAAGGAAACCATTATCAAAATAGCAGAACTCTTTTCATGTATAGAAAAGGAAACAAACTAATTTTTTCTGTTTTGTTTCTCATTTAGAATTTGATCGTCATGAAATCCAGATATATGAAGAGGTTGCCAAAATGCCCCCCTTCCAGAGAAAAACGCTAGTATTGATAGGAGCTCAGGGTGTGGGCAGACGAAGCTTGAAAAACAGGTTCATAGTACTGAATCCCAGTAGATTTGGAACTACAGTGCCATGTAAGTGTTGTGTGTTTTCTGTTTATTGTCAGGAAAGAGTGTGGGCATGGAGGTAGAGGAATTCTTATTACTTGTTATTTTAAGTAAATTAAAATTTGATTATAAGTAAATAGAGGAGAAGCAACACTTGAAAAATTCAGTAATCCCATACCTGTATTTGTTGTAGCTGATAGCAATTAACTCTCCAAGACTATTTAACCTAAAAATATTAGAGTTAAATGCAAAGAGTCAAAGGAGAAAGCCTACTAAATCCTCAGATACACACTTAGTCAGTGTGGCAATAGCTTAGGTCTGTCTCTCAGTCCTGCAAGGTCATATTCCTAAATTTTGATTGCACATTAAGAGCAGTTTGTCCTCCACAGCAGATACCATTCATTAAAAGCACAGATTGATAAGTAAAATGAGATAGTATAAATGAGATAGTATTCATGAGAGGTATAGCCATTAAGGAAATCAAGCACGCATGATTTTTGCCTTTTTTGCCTTTTTTTTGCATATGTGGAAAATAAAATGATAGAAATATGATTAGACTGGAATTAGAATGGTATCATTGACATTGTGGTGATAACTACACATTTGTCTCTTGGCTCTGGGATGCATAAGCCTTTGCTATAAGCCAGTGTTGCCTTTGTAAGTCCCTTTTTTGGGCTTCCCCTTTAACACACTATTCTTTTGGATCTCTTAAGGCCTATATTTCCCCTATGAAAGGCAACATTCTTTTTAAGATTTAATCATCAGTAAATAAGCAGCCTGTTGCTAAACTTACCAGCAGTTTGGAGAATAAGCTTGTGTACCCTCTGGTGTACTTACAGCCCCTCAGGTTAAAACTTTTCCTTTCCGTTGTCCACCCTGCCAATTACTGAATTCAGATAAGTAGTTAACAAAATAAAACTTCACTTTGACCAGAGTATTTTAAGGTTTAAATGTGAAAAAAAGAAAAAAGTTTATTTTTATCAACTAGTATGTGCATAATACATTTAGCAACTAATTCTTAAAGACATATCATGGAAAAAATAATGGCCTGTCTTTCTAGACTACATCTGACCCACTTAGCAGAACATTTGCTTTTCATTCTTCTTGCTGTTTCTTTTGGTAGTTTTCCATATCTCTTCTTAGTGTGTTTATTCTGCTATTTCCTGCTTTATCCAGTTCTGATTTAACTATTGACTTTCTTACTACTCTTAAGATATAAAGATAATTTTATTTTGACTACTCTTTATTTTTAAAAAAAAAATTATTGTTGGGGCTGGGAAGTTGGCTCAGTGGTAGAGTGCTTGCCTTGCATGCCTGAGGCCCTGGGTTCGATTCCTCAGCACCACATAAGCAAAAAGAAAAAAGCCAGAAGTGGTGCTGTGGCTCACGTGGTAGAGTGCTAGCCTTGAGCTGAAGAGCTGAGGGACAGCACTCAGGCCCAGAGTACAAGCCCCACGACTGGACCCCAAAAAAAAAAAAAATTATTGTTATTATAAAGTGATGTACAGAGGGTTAGTCAGGTAAAGAGTACTTTTATTTTTGGACAATGTCATCCCTCCTCACACTCTCCCAGTTTTTCCTTCCCATTCCCACCTATAAGTTGAGTAGCTCATTTTCAATGTAATGTCTAGTGAGTACCATTTGAATAAAAAGTTTTAAAACTAAACACATATACCTCAGCATGATGGCATAGTATTATAGTCCCAGCTACTCAAGATGCTGACACAGGAGAATTCCTTGAGTTCAAGACAAGACTTAAGACAAAGCTGTCTCATGTGTTTTGACTACTCTTAAGATACAAAGATAACTTTATTTTCAGTTGGTTCAACTTCATGAATAGTCTTCCCTCCACCCAGCAACCCATAGAGGTTTTTTGTTTTTGATTTTCTTTTTCTCTTTACTTGACTTTTATGTGAATGGATGTTATAATTCTTTGTTGTTGCTCTATGAACCAAAATGTATTTATCCACTAAGTCATTCTTGTCTCAGAATCCTGTGTGTTCCGTGCCCAGCTGTTAACACTGGGGCATTTCCTTTTGATCTTGTCTTGGGTTGAAGCTGTCATTCGTGGATATCCTTTTTTAGAGGGGAGGAGGTAGGACTAAAGTTTGAACAACTTGCTAGGCAGGCATTCTACCACACCCCAAGCCGTTCTTTCCATTATTTTTGGGATAGGATCACACATTTTTACCTGAGTCTGACCTCAAACTATGATCCTACTACTTTTGTCTTCTGCTTAGCTTAGCTTATAGATGCCTGCCACCATGCTCAGTTTATTGGTTGAGATTGGGGTTAGGGATCTCATTAACTTAGTTGCCTTGACACTAAATCTTCTCAATCTTTGTTTCCCAAGTAGCTGTGACCATAAAAGCATGTCATCAGACTAAATCCCCAGAAATGCCTTCTATTTTTTGCTTGGTTTATTGCCATTTTCCCTGCTGGGTTTGTCTCAAAAGAACTGTGTAGAATATAATTTTATTATCTGCATTTTAAGGGGTATGTTTTCTACCCTCAGTTTAGTTGATTGCTTAGCTGAGAATAGAAATTCTGGCTTATAAAACTTAAAAGATGTTATTCCTGAATCCAGTTCTGTTGAAAAATTAATGTCCTTCTAGTTCTTACTTTCTCAGATTTTTCTTTTTTTGGGGGGGTGGGTCTGGTCGTGAGGCCTGAACTCTGGGCCTGGGTGCTATCCCTCAGCTCTTTGGGTCAAGGCTAGCGCTCTACCACTTGAGCCACAGCACCACTTCCAGCTTTTTTCTTTTTGCTTTATGTGGTGCTGAAGAATCGAACCCAGGGCCTCAGACATGCAAGGCAAGCACTCTACCTCTGAGCCACCTTCCCAGCCTCTCATATTTTTCTTTCACAGATATTTAAGCTCCATTGTTTTACTATTTTTCAAAGTATTCTAATATTTTATTAATACATCTAAATGCTGCATCTTTTTTCATTTACTGTGATGATTGGTGAACATACCAAGCATGAAATTCATGTTTTCAGTCCTGGACAATTTTCTTATTATTTCTTGGTTGATTTTTCCCTATTTTCTTAAAGATTCATTAGCCTGAGATATTGGACATCCTGGATTCTCTTCTCAGTCTGTACTTTAAGGGAGAAAAAAACCCAACACATTATCTGTGCTTTCAGAGTTTGGTTTGGTTTGGTTTTGCCTTTTGAAAGATTACTTTAACAATCAGTATTTATCTTTTTTTTTTCTGTTTTCTTACCCCTGTGTTGTGTATCTTTTTCTTTCCTATTCCTTTTTTTCTTTTTCTTTTTTTCTGTTATACTAGCTCTTCTGTACCTTTAAGAATTCTAAATATAGTACTTATTTTTTAAATACTTGCATAGGCTACAGTCTCTGGTTGTTTCTCCTGGTTATTGTTGTTGTTGTTGTTCCTATTTGCTCATGGTAGATCTGTTTTTTTCCTTTTATGCTGGACTGATCCCAGATTGCATATCTAGACTTAAAAGTAAAACATTAGAACCAGTGATACAGTTCTGTATGCTTTGGGGTAAGTCTTGCCAGTTGGCTGAGCTTTATTTTAGCGAAGAGATAAGGAATTAGCTGCTTTACTGGAAGAGCGCAAAATATTTGTACAAGAAATTTTATTTTGTAATTGTTGCATTTTTCCAGATAATAATCCTGTTACTCAGCAGGATTATTATTTACTGAAGATAAAGAAGGGAATAAGATGCAAATTACTTGCTCTATATGCACAATAAATCTCTCTCAATTGTAAGTTTTATACTAAAAATCTCTTCAAGGTTCTTTGGAGTAAATCCACTGTGTAACTCCCTTTCTGCATCTTTATGGCTTCTGCCTGAACAACTATTGTTGTGTCTCATGAACTTTTTGTACGCTGTGATTTTGTTTTCATTCATCTTATTCTCTGTCCATTCTTTCTCATAAATAGATTAAAAATAAATGGATTTTGTGGTCCATTTTTCTCTTCACATAGATGTCTACAGGGATTTTTAAACTGTTAATCTAGGAATATAGAACTGTGCAACACAGATTAATTAGCCAGATCTAATAATAAACTGTTTTCTCACCATTACTATCGTGTTGCAACCCTTCCTCCCTTCAAAATGACACTTAACCTTACCTGAAAAGTTACGTGGGAGAAGTTATGTAGGGGAACTAGAGACCTAACTTGTTGGCCAGAAGTAAAAGAAAAGAAAAACCAGCCACTCCCTGGGTTTTTTACCGAGAGATTACTTTGTCATTACTTTGTCATGTCCTCTTCTTTTGGTGCTGTTCTTCAGCCCATTCACAGTAGCTGCAGTAGATTTCCACGTGATGCTTGCTCAGGTCATTGGAACTTACCACAGTGCTAACCATTTTCCCATCAGTACTTCCTAACACACTCAAGGCAAACAGGCCTCCACAGAGACTTTCCCTCTTTAGGGTTATGGACAGGCTGCCCAACAGCTAGATCTCTTGGGGTCTGGGCAGCTCTATCAGTAACTGTTCATCAGGCAACACCATCTCCATCTCAAAAGTAATTTTTAAATTTGCTTATGATTTGTGATTTTTACCCATAGGTTATTTAGGAGAATATATCACTTGGGTTCCACGTGCTTTTTTAAAAATTATTTGACTGCACTTGCTCACCTTCCCTCTACTCATATGCCATTTATTGTTAAATTTTTGCTATTTCCCCTAATATTGGTAACAATTTCATGGTGGTCATAGAACATGTGTGATTTTATTTCTCCTAAATTTATTGAGAATTGTTTTATGTCTTGGAGAATAGTTTCATGTGCACTTGGGGAATATATGTATTCTATTGCTGAATGGTGTGTTGCTCATTGGATATCTGTCAGTTCCAGTTGGTTATATTTTTTTTAACTATTTGTTCTCTCCACCATTGAAAGTAGGGTGTTAAGGTCTTCAGCTATTTGGGTTTGCATGTTTCATCCTTCAGTCCTGTCAGGTATTTCAGGAGTTTGTTGTTAGAGGAATACTTGCTTACGGTTCTTTCATCTTCTTGATAAAATATTCCTTGTTCCTATTAACTTTT